CATTATGTAATGTCCATTTGTGTGTCTTGTCACTTTTTTTTAGTTTAAAGTGCCTTTTATCTGATATCGGTATGGCTGTCCCTGCCTTCTTTAGGGGGACATTTGTTTGTAGAATTGTTTTCCAGACATTTATTTATTTATTTTATATATTTTTTACATCATTTTTCATTTTTGCACAATGTATGCATTTTCCTCTTGGTTATATAGTCCTCATAACCCCCCATCCCCTTATTTTGACACTGATCCCTCCTCCCGTGTTTATAGCAGCACTATGTACAATAGCTAAGCTATGGAAATAATCCAAATGCCCAAAAATAGATGAATGGATCAAGAAGATGTGGTACATACACAACCATTTACTTTTAATCTGGGTTTTTCTTTGGCACTTAGGTGTATTTGCAGGAGACGGAGAAGTTTGGGTTCTGTTTTCTAATGCAGCCTGCTACTCTGTGTGATTTTATTAGTGACAAGTCAATTTACATTTAGGGTGACTATTGATTCATAGAAGTCTGTACTTACCATTATGTTCATTGTTTCATGGTCTATTTACTACCTTGTTCAGTTCTTTCTGCTCATTCTTCTTTTGCTTTGGATTTTAAGGCTCCTTGTAATAGTTTTTGGAGAGAGGGTTTATTAGAAGAAAATTTCTGAAGATTTTGTTTGTTAGAGAAGGTTCTTAATTTTTCCCTCATGTAGGAAAATAGTCTCAGAGGATAAAGTATTCTTGGCTGGCATTTTTTGTCTTGGAGATTTTTTTTAAATATGTTAGTCCATTCTCTTCTTTGCCACGTGTTTCTTCAGAGAAGTCTGACGTCAGCCTAATTTATTTTGCTTTATAAGTTGTTTGTTTCTCCTCATCAGCTTTATTTTATTTATTTATTTGTTTGTTTATTTATTTATTTATGTCTTTTTTTTTTTTTTTTTATAGAGGCATGCTTTATTTATTTGTTTGCTGGTTTGTTTGTTTTGTTTATACATGCACTGGGTACAGTCAGAAGCGCGGGAGGGTGAGAGAATTCACCAGAGCCAGAGCAGGGAGCAGAGCAGGCAGAAGGACCGAAGTACACTGCTGAGGGGAGCAGCGGGCGGCAGGAGAAGTCTGCACGCCATGTGGGACCCTCCTCCGGTGGCCGGGGAGCAGCCGGGGATCGAACCGGCGCCGCAGAGGCCGCGGGCAGCTTCGCAACCCAGCGCTCAACCGCTGCGCCACCGGGGAGGCCCTGTCTTGGACTCTTGAAAACTTTATTCTGATGTGTTTTGTTGTAGTTTTCCTTTAATTATGGTAATTTGGTGTTTTTCTAGCTTCTTGAGTGTCTATTTTAATTTCCTTCTTCACATTTGGGTAGTTCTCTTCCATTATTTCCTTGAATAGTTTCTCAGTTCCTTTGTCTCTTCACCTTCTGCAATTCTTATGACTCTTACATTTTCTTTCTTCATGGTGTCAGATAGATCTCAAAGTGTTTCTTCATTCTGCTTCCTTTGTCCCTCTCTTTCCTTTACTTTTGTTCTCTCTTTAGCTTTATTTTTGAGGATACTGATTTGTTCTTCCATGTCACCTATTCTATTTTCACGGCCTTTCTCAGATTTTTTATCTCCTTCATTTTACTTTAAAATTCTGCAGTTTCTCTATTATTTAAATATTTGTTCCCATTCTTCAGTTTGCTATTTATATTTCTCATATCATTCTTTTTCTTTTCTTTATTTTTAAGTGTTTTAATTATGACTATACTGAATTCTTTATCTGCCAGTGTTGTTGGATTCTGTAGGCTATTTTTCTTGTCATGTGTTGTTCCCCAGATGGCTTGTTTGACCATTTGTATTTTTCATTCTCCTCATTGTTTGCTGTTGGGTCTGTTCTATATGCAGGACCACTGTGCCATTGGTGCCAACTGGCATGCCCTCAGAGTGTTCCTACTGGGGTCTCAGTAGCTTAGTGCTGGCTGGGCACAGTCTTGTCAGTTTTTATGGGAACTCTGATGCTCTGGGTGGACTTATGGTCCTTGCCCCAAAGGTGGCCAGTTCCCTGTGTGCTTCTTGCCCTTCCCCTGCATGAGTCCCTTCATTCATGAAGGGCCAGGCTAGGTCCTACTTGGTATTGTTTCTATCTTCATGTACTTACTGAGGTTTTTTTATGTGACCCATTATATGGTCAATCCTGAGAAATGATCCATATGTGCTTGAGAAAAATGAATAGTCAGTGTTTTAGGGGTGCAGTGTCCTATAAATATCTGTTAGGTGTATTTGTTCCAGATCTTTGTTTTGGGCTAGTTCGTACTCTTTTATATTCTATCTCATTGATTTGTCTAGTGGTGAGAGTAGGTTGTAAGTCTCCTAACAAAAACAGTTTTTTCCATGGTTGTTTACAAAAATGATACTGATTTTCTAATGTATTTTGGGGCTCCCTCATTCTGAGAGTATATATTGGTGAGTGTTATGTATTCCTATATATTGTCCCTTTGATAATTATATATTGCTCATTTATGTCACATCACTTTAGCTGGAAGTCTGTTTTATCTGATATAAGTATGGCTGTCCCTGCTTTCTTTCAGGTGCAATTTGCTTATGGCATTGTTTTCCAACCCTTTACTCAATCTATATTTATCTGTGGAACTTGGGTGGGTTTCCTGGAGGCAGCAGAAGGTCATATTCTCTTTTCTATTCTAACATACTATTCTTTGTCTTTTTATTGGTGAGTTCAGTCCATTAACATTTGGTGTAATTAACATTAAAATTTAAGATGATACATGGAAGTCTGTTATTGTCATTTTGTTCATCATTTTGTGGTTCTGTTTAATTCCATCTTCAGTTGACCATATTCATTCTTTTTTGGTTTAGAACATAAGGCTTCTTGTAATATTATGTGGAGTAGGGGTTTATTTATTGTGAATTCCTAAAGATTGTATGATTGTATTTGCTTGAGAAAGCCTTTATTTTCCCCCGTATTAGAAAAAGTGTTTTGTAGGATAAAGTAGTCTTCACTGGTGTTTTCTTTTTTGGAGTGGTTTGTTTGTTTGTTTTACTATGCCACTCCATTCTCTTATAGCCCATAGTGTTTCTACAGAGAAGTCTGATGTTATCCTAAACAGCTTTCTTTATAGGTCATCTGTTTCTTCCCTTGTCAGCTTCTTTCTTTTTTTTTCTTTATCTTAGAATCTTGGATGCTTTACCACTATGTGTCTTGCTGTAGTTTTACTTTCATTTTGTTAATTTGACATCCTTTAATTTCCTGTATTTCTATTTTCATTTCCTTCTTCAAGTTGGGAAAGTGTTCTTCAATTATGTCCTTTGAATAACTTTTCAAATACCTGATCTACCCCTTCTCCCATTCAAATTCCTATGACTCTTTCCTCCTCCCTTGTTTCGGTAAATGGGAAATAGTGATGTTAGTGAAATTAAAAAAATCTCAAGAATGGACAAAGATTTTATTAGATAAGAAAAGTTAAATTCAAAGTCAGGAATCAGCCAGACATTTGCTATGTGAAAACTATTGCGAGTAAACATAAGTTAGAATTTAGGGGCCTCCCTGGTGGTGTAAGTTGCAGCATTATGAAGATACCCACAGCCATTATAGCATAAGTTCAATCCCCAGCCAAGGAGCTAACCCACATGGCACAGCAGACCTCTCCTGGTTTCCCTGCTGCTCCCCTCAGTAGAGTATTTCAGTCAATCCACCCCTTCTGTTTCCCACTCTGTCTCTGGCAAATCCTCTTGTTAGGGGGAAAGGATGTCCTGAGCAAACTCTGTACAGGTTTTGTGGACTTCACCCCCACCTTGCATGAGCAAGTGCCTTTGGCAGCAGAAGTGGTGGATTGTCTGCTGGTGCCAATAATCTTGTCTTTTGCCATTTGGTTGGTGTCTTGCCTGGACTTATTTGTGTTCTGTTGTATTGTTTCATTGTTATGTATTCAGTTGTATTCTAATTTTCTTTTTGTGTGGGCCATGGCTGCAGTATTTATGCTTGCTAAGGGAAAATTGTATATAACTTATATGTAGACTGTATAGCAGAGAACCCTGAGGGGGTAGATTGTATGGTAAATGATTTTAAGACTTTTCTGCCCTGCTGCCATTAGGAGTGCATGCTTGATGGCAGGCACCTGCATTTTGTTAAATTATTATTTTCAGTTGTGTTGTTTACTCTTGTGGGCTATGGCTGCAGTATTGATATTCACTATGAGAAGCAGACAGGGAGGTAGGGAAGGAGGGAGGGAGAGAGGGAGAAAGAGAGAGAGAGAGAGAGACAAAGTCTGTTGGGGACACTCTCTTGGCCTCAAGGCTCTTGGCTTTTCACTAGTGCTCAGTGGGTCAGGTCGTTGGGATTCAAGGTCAGCTGAATGGGTAGGACCCATTCGCGAATTTATCTCCCTCCTTTTCTCCCTGAGTTATTCATTTCTTCATTTTCCCTTATTTTGTAAATAAACCTTTTATTAACCTTTTGTGCATGCCTGCAGTTGAGCATTAATAAGTCCTTTTTTAAGCACATGGGTGAGGACCACAGTCACACAACCTGTTTCATATAGGGGTTGCCCTGTAACACTCTCACTCCTGCACCTCTGGCCTGTACCCCAGTTCTTGTATGCATAAATGAATAAACCTTTTAAAAAGTTTCATTTTAGTTAATATAGTTAAATACAGTGAGTCATTGATATTAAGAATATAATTATTATTGATAGTGTAACCAGTGGCTGAAGCCAAAGACTGTTACAGGTGGTACCCTCTGAAGGGGGGTTGCTGGTGAGAATAGATGGTCCCTTGGAAAATTCTTAAAGGTATTGCATTTTTGGTGTGGAAAGTGATAAGAAATATAAGGGACTACAGAAGCAGCTGTGGATTATTCATTGTTTAGCATTCAGTTTTCAAAATTTCAGCATTTGGATTTCAGCATTTTATTGGCTCTTAGTGATTACAGGGTCAGCAATTTCAGCAAGTAAAAATCAAAATCAACAAGCAACTATAAACTAGAGACACACTATGGGGGGTGGGAAGGGGAGGAGGAAGTAGGGTCAAAATAAGGAGGGTGGGAATTGTATGGGGAATATAACCAAGATGAAAATGCATAGATTGTGCAAAAATGAAAAATGATGTAAAAATATATATAAAATTAAAATAAGAATGTTAAAAAAGAAAAAAAAAACTTTCTATACAGGCCTCCCTGGTGGCACAGGCGGTTGATCTCAGTGCTGTGAAGCTGTCCACAGCCTTTGCAGCACCGGTTCGAGCACGGCCGGCAGGCGAGGTCCCACATGGCTCAGCAGTCCTCTCCTGTCATGCCCCCTGCTCCTCTCAGCAGTGTATTTCATCAGTCTGCCTGTTCTGTTCCCCGCTCTGTCTCTGGTGAATCCTCTCACCCTCCCGTGCATCTGGCCTGTACCCTGGTTCTTGTATAAATAAATAAATCTTAAAAAAAAAAAGAAAAAAAAAAACTTTCCATACCTCACCATTCCTGAAGTACCACTTGTCTTTCCTTGCACCCAGATCAGTTCCCATACATAGATTCCGGAATAGACATTGCCCAAGCCCTTCCCCCATGGGCATAATTCAGTCAGAGCAGGCAGGGAGAGGCTAAAGTCCTTATTTAAATTTTGCACAATTCAGGGAAAAGGAGCCCAAAGAACCTTCCAGAAAAACCGTGAATACATGTGGGAGATCAGGAGGAGGAACTGCCAGATTCCCACAACAAATTTGGTGTATTGGCCAGGACAAACAAGCAAATTAGCCCTTTGAGCCACTGGCATAGGAGGACGTGAGGCAGGGGATGGATAGAAGAGCCAGGAAAAGAGAAAGTACACTGCTGAAGGTTTTGGCAGCCTCTGACTTAGTTGCTCCTGCCCAGGCCCTGAAACACTGTTGTTGGCTAGAGTTCAAAGGGCTGAGTGAGGCCAGGACTTGGCACCAAAGTCAGACCAGGTAAGGTCCCAGTATCCTGGTTCCCAGTCAGGCCTAATCCATATGGGTAGAAGGAGAGACTGATCACCTCTTGGGAGGCCGTAGTGGTCTCACAGTGACCTCCCCAAAAGAGAGGGATTGCTTTAACTTCTGGTGTATAAGTGTCTGAGTGGTGCCTGTGTGAAAAATCTCCACAACTGTGTCTACAGAGATAGTTTGGGCTTATCCCTGTGGTTCCATAGACAAAGTCATATGGCTGTGAAGCCTCGAGAGGGGTGTGGTCAGGCAAGTATCTGTGTGTGCTCCCCTCGTTGCTACACTGAACACAGTGGGAAGGAATCAGAGCAAACCGATGGTCCTTGAAAAGATGCTTAAAAGCTTCAAAAAGAGATTCTCAGGAGATTACAGTGTTGAACTCAGTCCTGGAAAGTTCACACATTCTATGAGCTTGAATGACTGGTGATTGGTGTGGCTGGCCTGCAGAGGGCATTCTAGGCATCCCCACTGTTGGACAAGTCTGGCATGCAGTTTCTCACAAGACAGGGCACCCAGATTAGTTTCCATACATAGACTCCTGGTTAGATGTTGCCCAAGCCCTTCCCCCATGGGTACGTTTCAGTCAGAGAAGGCAGAGTGTGCTTACTGCAAAAACAAAGGACATTGGAAATGCAAATGTTGCAGTCATAGGAAGGCCCCTAGCCAGTCATGGGGTCCCATCCAGTACCAGCAAGAACCACGAGAAGGCAGTGTCCTTGGGATGATTGGAGATTCAGACTGATGGGGACCAGGCTCAATGTCCCTTGGCCCCCATGAGCCCATTCATGGTCAGTGTCAAAATTGGGGGCCAATCTGTGACTTTCATGGCAGATATGGGAGCTGAACACTCTGTGGTAACCACCCCATGGCCCTATTATCTGACAAAACTGCAACAATCCTCAGGGCTATGGGAAAAAGGGTAGTTCAAAAGCCATTTTGCCAGACCTGTCAGTGTGAGATAGGGGGCTACATGCTTAGACATAAGTTCCTCTATGTCCCAGAATGCCCAGTTCCTCTTCTTGGGCGAGACATCCTCACCAACCTGGGAGCCCAGATTACTTTTGAGACATCCGGGGAGGCCACCCTCCGACTTGACCCAGATCCCCAGCAAAACACACTGTAGAAGGTAGCTCTGATGTTTACTGTTGTTACCCTAAAAGAGGAAGAGTGGAGGTTGTATGATACAAAGTTTGTAGCGCCAGGTTGTCCCGACTTCTTCAATGAGTTTCCTCATGTGTGGGCTGAAAATAACTCTCCTGGCTTAGCTGTTAACTGGGCCCTTGTTATTGTGGATTTATTTCCTGGAGCTGTGTCACAGAGACAGCACCAGTACCCGCTCCCATTGGAGGCCTGAAGAGACATCCAGGAACACTTGGCATGACTCAGCGAGACTGGCATCTTGGTAGAGTGCCCATCCCCATGGCATACTTCTCTTCTCCCTGTAAAGAAGACTGGCGGAGGTTACAGAGCAGTTCAGGACCTATGTGTAGTTAATAAAGTGACTGTCTCTCCTCACCCAGCAGTCCCAAACCCGTACATCTTGCTTGGACAGATCCCAGGATCAGCCCAATTGTTCACCTGTGTGGACCTCAAAGATTCATTCTTCTGTATACGTTTAGCTTTTGAGTGGACTGACTGAATCAGGATGGCAGATGCAGATGACCTGGACAAGACTTCCCCAAGTTTTAAAAAATTCTCCCATGCTATTCAGTGAAACCTTGAAGGCAGACCTTGTCACTTCCCCTGAGAGCAGACTCGTATGGTACTTTAGTATGTAGATGACTTCTGTCTAGCTGGGGAGACTAAAGAAGATTGCTCAGCCAGTACAAGGGCCTTCCAATTCTTGACAAGCTCAGGGTACTGTGTTTCCTGGAAAAGGCACATATCTGCTAGCAACATGTAAAGTACCTGGGCGTTTACCTGTCAAAAGGCAAGAGAAAGTTGGGTTTGAAAGGCAGCAGGTCATCACCTCAATACCCCAACCAAACATGTATAAAAGGCTCCAAGAATTCTTAGGAGCAGCCAGCTTTTGCCATAACTGGATCCCAAGTTTTACAGCTTCAGCAAATCCACTCTGTGAACTTTTAAAAGGACCTGAAAACAAACTCTTTGTTGGACTGAAGCAGCAGAAGCTGCCTTACAGCACATAAAAGATGCATTGCGGCATGCCCCCACACTGGGATTACAGGACTTGAGCAAGCCGTTTAATCTCTTTGTACATGAAAAGGAAAAAAAAATCTCTGGGAGTCTTGACACAAAATATGGGGCCTGGCAAGCACCCCATTGCATATCTGTCCAGGCATTTAGACCCAGTGGCAGTGGGATGCCCCCATGTCTCAGAGCAGTAGCTGCTACTGTTCTTCTTATCAAAGAAGGAGATAAACTCACCCTGTGACAGGAACTCAGTGTTAAAGCTCACATGCCGTAATTTCCCAAATAAATGGAAAAGGGCACTAATTTCTCTGCAATTTCCATTTGGCTCAAAATCAAGGCTTGCCCTGTGAAAATCCTTGGGTAGCCTTGGAAACCATCCACACAATTAACCCTGCTATCTTTCTGCCCACTGAGGCCGGAACCCCAAGTTGTGATTGCTCAGTACTTATGGAAGAAGTTTTTCCTAGCTGACCAGACCTTAGAGATCACCCTCTAGCCAGCCCCAATCTCATACTCTTTTGTGAAGGCAGCAGCTTCTTAAAGGAAAATACCTGCAGGCAGGTTACTCTCCAGGTTACCTCTGGAGAGTTTTGGAGTCAGGTGCTCTCCCAGCGGGATGGTAGGTATAGAGGGCGGAACTCTGTCTTGATTTGTGCCCTGACTCTTGGCAGAGACCAGGCAGTCAATAGCTTTTCAGATTCGCATTATGCTTTTGCTATAGTCCACATTCATGGAGCAATCTATAAAGAATGAGGGCTCCTCACTTCCTCTGACAAAGCAATTAAAAACAACTGAAATCATCCAGCTGTTAAGAGGCTGTTTGATATCTGTGCTCAGTAGCCATCAGGCAATGCCAGGGGCACCAAAGGGGAACTGATCTCATAGCAACTGGCAATCACCTGGCTGATAAGGCAGCCAAGCAGGCAGCTTGCATAAGGACCCCAGCACTTTCCAACTCATCATCTTCTCTGGTGGTCACTTTCTCCCCTTTGAGCCCCCGGGAAGCTGTGACCACAGAGGATGCATCTCCACTTTCTAAGCTCCCAATAACCCTCTATTTGGAGAAAGAGACTCTGTGGGCAAGGTCCGAAGGTGCCCACCAGGTAAAGGGGGTATGGTGGAAACTACCTGATGGGTGGCTTTTCATCCCCACAGTGCTTGGAAATCAGCTTGTACTAGAATATCACCGGAACACACAACTTGGGAAAATGGCTCTAGAAAAGCTCATCCAAAAACATTTTTAGGGAGCTTCCTGGTGCTACAAGGTGTTAAAATGCAGCACTATGAAGCTATCTTCAGTCCCTGTAGCACAAGTTCAATCCCTGGCCAGGGAGGTGACCCACATGGCGCAGCAGACCTTTCCTGACTCACCCGCTGCTCTCCTCAGCAGTGTATTTCAGTCAATTTCTGCCTGTTCTGTTCCCCACTCTCTCTCTGGTGAATCCTCTCACCCCCTACACCTCTAGCCTGTACCCCAGTTCTTGTATGCATAAATGAATAAATCTTTAAAAAAAAACATTTTTACATTAGCCTCCTACCAATGCTTTACAGGTCAGTCAGTGACCAATGTATAACTTGTGCCAAAAATAATGCTAAACAAGCACCCAAATGCTGCTTACCACTGGACCCTAAAACCCCAAACAGATATTCCCATTAGCCTGACATATGTATACCCTGATAAAACCTGTCCTGACAACAAGAGTGTGCCCCTGTGCATTACTAACAACAATTCAAACTCTAATATGTGGACAACGGGTATCATTCTCCAGCTGGGTTTGATGCATCTTCCTAGGCACCCTATGGTCAGCTTCATGGTAAAGTCAGTATTCGTACCTAGTCTGACAGTGGGTCCACGAGGAACAAAGGAACTCTCTGGTCTTCCTCCATCTTGGGCATCCTTTGATCTTTTCCAACAAACATCTATGCCCCAGTTAATAGGCATGATCAAAGCCCCACAATTATCTCTCAACCTCTCCAATGCGGCCCTCACTTCAGATTGCTGGATCTGTATGGAACCCAGTCTTGTTCAGTACTACGGGATCATACTCAGCCCGAGTTTGTTCCCTCCAAAGACTTCACCTGACTCCTCCTCAAGTCTTATCTTAGGTCCAGTGTCCCTGTGGAGAAATGCCTCAAATCCTTTGGCTCCTAACTCCAGGATCTGTGCCACAAATGACACCTACCTGGCTTGCACTCAATGTGTCATTCCACACAAATGGCAATGCTTCATTGTTAAACCGGTACCTAACTAATCTGTTTTGACTGGGAGGGATGCACTTACAGTATGGAAGGCCCTTCATCATGAAAAGAGAGTTCCTCTGGCCATCCCACTTGTAGTGGTCTGCTAGCCACATCTGGGGCAGCCATGGGTGCAGCTGGAATGGGAGTGTCTCAGATCTGTTATAATGAACTAGGTGGCCAACTCAAGTCATTTTTTTTTAATTTATTTATTTATACAAAAACAGGGCTACAGGTCAGAGGTGTGGGAGGGTGAAATAATTCATCAGAGACAGAGTGGGGAGAACAGGCAGATGAACTGAAGACACTGCTGAGGGGAGCAGTGGCCATGCTATGTGGTTTTTCTCCCTGGCCAGCCAGGAATTGAACCCGTGCTGCAGAAGCTGCAGACAGCTTCACAGGGCTGCACTCAACCCACTGCACCACTGGGGAGGCCCTCAAGTCAGATTTTGATGCTTTCACAAAGTCAGCCCTAGACCTCCAATGACAACTTGATTCTTTGGCAGCTGTGGTACTCCAAAACCAGTGAGGACTCAATGTCCTTATTGCTGCTTATGGAGGTATCTGTCTGTACTTACAAGAAGAATGCTGCTTCTATGCAAACAAATCTGGAGTAATCCAGGAAACACTCACCCAGCTCCAGGATCAAATCAATCACAGATGGGATGCCCTGCACCAGTTGATCTGGTGGGATTCCTATTCCCCTTGCCTCCTGTGGCTGGCCCCCTTTAAAGGGCCCTTGCTGTTATTCTTCTTGGCACTTGTCTTTGGCCCCTGTCTACTCAATATGCTTACAAAATTCATATCTACTTAGATATCAAAAATAAAACTTCAGTTGCTCCTTCCCTCGACTGGCCAGTTGACAGTGATCTTGACACCATGGAAGATGATGCCTTAAGAGATAATAACTCATAAAGGCATCAAAGGGGGGAGATGAAAGGGGAAACACTAAGCAAATAATTATAAAAGCTTCCTGCTAAAAAGACCCCAGTTCAGGTGAAATTAACATTCCAAGGCAAGCATTATTAATAAGTTTGCTTACTTTCAAATCCTTCCTTATAAGTTTTTTTTTTTAAAGATTGATTTATTCATGCATACAAGAGCTGTGCCCCAGTTTCCTGCTGTTATGGCCAGCAAAACAGGCAAAGACCCAGAACCAGGCATTACGCTGAGCTGTATGAATGTATCTCTTAGGCAGGTCATTCAGCCACTGCAGTTTCTGTTTTGAGTGTTGTTTGTCTGGTGCTGTGCTGGGGTGTCTCAGCAGCTCTAGATCATCTTGTATTGTGTCTTCTGTTGTCTTTGTGAGTAGGAACCTGGCCTATAGTCTGGCTGCTGTGTGCTCCAGGTCAGCAGAGGCAGGAAGACGCCATCTTGGACACGTGGCCTATTGCTCAGGAGAGGAGCTCTGTGTCCTCAGTGGTGGGACAACACCATCTTAGATGCTTTTGTTTGGGGCTTGAAAACACTGGACACTGCTTAGGGTGAGACAAACGACCATTTTGGCCTCAGTAACTCTTTGTTTTTCCCTGGTATGTTAAATAAATCCCATTGTTTTTGTTCTCTGAGCCTAATTAGTCGTACAATTGTGACTAAGTTTGAAGAACTCAGACAGTGACTGGTAAACTATTAGACAGTGTTCTTGGCAGGTTTTAGTGTTTCTTGTTGCCCTGTATCAATAGGAGGGACTTCTGGTTTTAAATTATCATAATCTAAAAATATGGTCATACTAGAGGAAGGAAATTCAGGATCTAATGTTTCTTTTTGAAGAAGGCTCTGAAGAGATGCAAAGACTGGAAGTATTGCTAAGTATTCCTTATTGTTAAGTATCCCTTATTTGAAAAGAATAAATTAAATCTTAGGTGACTGAGTACCTAGAAAATTTTACTTTATGTTTAAAAGTCTAAACTTTTGGTCAAAATTAATTCTAGTTACATTTGTAACTGGAAGACCAGAGTTCAGGCCACCTGCCACCACCAAATGCCAATAAAGGAGAGACAGGGATTGAATCTTTAAAGGGTGTTTTAATCAGATAGCTGGCAATCTGGAAGATGGGGGGTTAACACCCTAAAGAAACCACCTTAATATTTCATTTCCAGCTGCCTTTTTATAGTAAGTTGAACAAAGAGAGTTCTGCAGTAAGATGGCCTTCACTGCTGCCAGGAGATTATGATGTCCAGCCCCATGAACTCCTTATCACCCTCCTGGACACCTGACTCAGGCTCATCCTAGTGTGCTGAGGTTGGTCTTCAGATAACACTGGGTCCCGGCATGCCTCCAGATGTGTCTGTGGGCTTGAAATTAACTCAGAGAAGACAGGCCATAAGCAACATGTGTGTGCAGATGTGCTACTATATCAGCTAGTGTCTCACCCGATCTCCTCCCCCTCCCTAGACCTTATCACATTCTTGATCAATGTTGTACTTTCTTTTTTTTTTTTAAGATATATTTATTTATTCATACAAGCACTGGGTACAGTCAGAAGCGCGGGAGGGTGAGAGAATTCACCAGAGCCAGAGCGGGGAGCAGAACAGGCAGAAGGACTGAAGTACACTGCTGAGGGGAGCAGCGGGCGGCAGGAGAGGTCTGCGCGCCATGTGGGACCCTCCTCCTGTGGCCTGGGAGCAGCCGGGGATCGAACCGGCGCCTCAGAGGCTGCGGGCAGCTTCGCAACCCAGCGCTCAACCGCTGCGCCACCAGGGGAGGCCCCAATGTTGTACTTTCTAACATTGGGATATCTCTTGCATATTTTACCTATACTACACTTAAAGGGATTTGTCAGATAATGTTTTTCTTACTGGCTACTGTGATATGAATCTTTAACTCCGGATCACTGTAGTGGCAGGATGGACACAGTGCAGGTTTTTTATGATCACAGCAGATCGGGTAAAGGAGAGTCCTGGAGACCTCAGTGGCTTTCTCAGGCTTTTACCAAGTTTTTACATGTCGTGCAGCAACCAGGTACACAGCCGGTAAGCCTCCAAGGCCCTGGCAAGTCTTCACTCTTTCTCCCCTTCTCTCCCCTTCACTTCTTTCTCCCCTTCTCTCTCCTGTTTCTCTCAGTGAATATCTCAATACTGCTGCCATGGCCCACAGATGTAAACAACATAACTTATAACAATGAAACAAATACAAGTGCCCCATCAGGCCCGCAATGCTAATGGCGGGAGGGCAGAAAAGCCTGAAAATTACCCTACAACCACCTTCCTACATTTCATTTGGAGGTTTAAATTTAATCTTCCAGTCAGTTAGATTTTTACCCATTGCACCTGTGTTAGATAGTTTAGAGTCCAATTAAACATTTGTGTCCAATTGCTGACAAGCAAGAATAAAGAATTTCTAAGGAAACAAAGGGAAGAATAAAGGTTAAAAATGAAGCAAATTTTAGTGTAGTCAGGAGTTCTGAGGAAAACCATTTGAGATGATTTATAAATGTTGGGATTGAGGCATCTTCAGGTAGGGTAAGGATAGACAATGATTTCCTTGCAGGAACTTTGATGTCATCAGGTATTTAGGAGTCTTATGTATGCATCTTGGTACGTATCTTGGTGATCACTCTGAAGTTAACAAATTCTCCATTCTCGATTTCTTGTTCCAGAAAAAGGCAGTATAGTGTCAATGTTGCCAAAAAAACAAACAAACAAACAAACAAAAAAACATTAGGAGAAAAATAACCTGATTATAACTCATTTTCTTTTAACTCCACCCCATCAGGGATTTTTTTTTCCTCTGTACAATCTACACAACAGACCTCTGTAGGATTCCTTTAATCTGTAAAAACAATACAAACTGCAACCAAATGCAACTGAATTAAACAGGGTACAACTAAGGTGTTAGGGCATACAAACCTAGAGACAAAAAGACAAAAATATCTTGGCACCAGTAATGGGACACCTCTTCCATCTGGCAGTATACAAGCCAATTTTTTGCAAGAAAATAACACTGTAGCTGGCAACAGTGGCTATCAGGTTCTGAGTACCATAGGTGCCTTGGCAGCAAAGAGGCATCAGAGGGCTTGCCATGCAACAAAAGAAGCAACTTCATAACAGGCCACAAAGTTAACATAAATATTCATTGTAGGATTGCCTCTGATATGACACCCCACTGTAGGTAATACATAAACAAGGATGCCATTGTCCATTTACCCAGGGTGTTATTTTTAGGTCAGCCTCCAGGCTGCATCTCCAAAGGGCTATTAGGGTCACCCAAAGGCATGTAGGGAGCCTTTATTGTCCAAGGTCATACCCATTCATGTTTTGCCCTGGGTCCAACCCAGTGGTGACTGGACAAATGTAAATTAAAAGAGGCCTATTTTTCACCTTCACATAACAGAGACCCCATACCTTGAAATGTTATATTTTCCACCATTTGGACATCAAGCGAAGGGCAGATGGGCCTTTCATTTGCAACAATGTATCTATCAGTTGTGTGGCTATGGGCACTTAACAGCATATAGGGAGTTCAATTGTGGTTTTGCCTGTCTGAGTCTTGGGAGTCACAGTCTCAGTCTCTCTCTGCCTGCTGTGCATATGGCCTCCAGTCTCAGAATTAAAAGCCTGCAAAAATCTGCCAAAGTCTGTCATTTTCTTTTTGTCTGTCCTGAGATGATTGCACAACAGCTGGCAATAAAATATTGCCCTGCCGCCCCAACATAGGCTTTAAGTGAATGTCTAAAGTCTGTATCTGCAGTTAGATGGGAACAACTGTGCCATGCAGCAATGCCTCCACAGGCATTCTGATGCTCTTGTTTAGTGTCCGTAGCAAGTCACACAGGCAAAAGCTCTACACAGGCAAAAGCTCTATGCAGCCAGCATGGCAATGGGGGCCATATCATCTATCCTTGCTTCAGCAAGCTGTTGCAGCACTCTATACACCCTGGAGCCTTGGGATTGTAGGGTGTGTGGAATTTCCATTCAACACCAATGCCCTTGGCCCACTGCTGCACCCAGGCACATGTAAAATGGGTTTCTTGGTCTCTCTCCACCAACAATGGACCTCCATATGAAGCACACAGGTGTGCCAGTGCTGCCAAAACTGCCTTGTGGTTGATTTGTGGAGCAGGATAAGCTGCTAATTAACCAGTAGCTGTGTCCACACAGGTGACTGCACACTGCTGTCCATCAGAGTGGGATACTGGTCCAATGATGTCAATCTTCCAGTGTGACAGGGGCACCTGCCCTCACAACACCTGGCCTGTAGAAGCAAAAGGTGGCCAGAGATGAGTTCTGGAACACCCTGTAACAAGACTTACTGGTGGAGTACCTGGGAGGAGGGTGCTGGTGAGGATGGATAACCCCAGGGAAAATGCTAAAAAGTATCAGTGGGGATAGAGACTGATAAGAAATATAAGGTACTGCAAAAGCAGTCCCATAATTCAGTGTTCTGGATTCAGTTTTCAGGATCTTCAGAGGTTCTGGAGTCAGCGATTTCTACCCCACCCTGCTGATCTTCTAGTAGGCTGTTGTGGGGCTCTAAAGGACATGGAGAGGCTTCCAGCAGCCAACCTCAGAGAAGAAAAGTTTGGAGGCTTTGCAAGAAGCTGAGCAGCTAAAACTGTTCCCAGTTTTGCTGCTGTTACTGCCTGGCAGGGAAGGCAGAGACCTGGAGCCAGGTGCCTCGCTGAGCTGTGGCTGTTTGTTGGGTTGTTTAGCTGCTGCTGCTGCTGTCTTGAGTGTTGCTTGTCTAGTGTTGTGCTGGGGCATCTTGGCTGTCCCTGGAGCATCTCCTGTTGTATCTTCTGCTGTCTTCGTGAGTTGGAGCCTGGCCTATAGTCTGGCTGCCATATGCTCCAGGTCAGCAGAGGCAGGAAGACACCATCTTGGACATGTGGCCTATTGTTTGGGAGAGGAGCTCCACATCCTCAGTAGCAGGAAGATGCCATCTCAGATGCTTTTGTTTAGGATTTAAGCACTGGACACTGCTTTGGGTGAGGTAAACAACCATTTATGTTCTCAGTAACAATTTGTTTTTCCCTGGTTTGTTAAATAAATCCCTTTGTTGTTGTTCCCTGAGCCTGAGTAGTCTTGGAATTGTACACATGGGGGAAGAACTCAGACTGACCAGAAAACTATTTGGGCTCTTCCCTTTATCAGTTTTAGTGCCCCTTGCTGCCCTATATCAATACCACAGCTAGCTGATATTCAGTCTAGTCTCCGGCACTTTCCAGAGTAGGAATCGAAACACAATGGACTATCTTAGATGTTCTGATTTCTGTCCAGGTATCCACCCAAACCTTTCCTGAGTGACATGTATTTCTAGCTCACAGGGATAGACTGGGTCAAAAACCTCCAAGGCCTGAGGGGCTTTTATAATCCCTTTGGCTGCAGCAAATGCTGTGTCTGCCTCAGCAGGCCAATCCCATCTGGCCACTTTATGTATCAACTCATATAGAGGCTGTAGGTGCTGGGCTATGTGAGGTATAAATGCTCTCCAATAACCAAGGAGGCCCAGAAAAGTTTGCAAATGCTTCGCTGTGGTTAGAGTTGGGGTAAGTTTGCACCTTATCCTTATTTATAACAGCATCAGAGATATCTTTTGTCTTACCCAACCAAACACCCCCAAGAACTTGACAGACAATCCAGGCCCCTGTGTGTCAGTAGGAGTAGTAAAGCCTTCTCCAAATCTGCAAGAAAGTTGGTCAACAAAATGTTATCAATATAGTGGTACAAACACACTGAGGATGGTTTCTCCCACTGGACGAATTCAGCTGCCACCAGCCCATAGCACAGAGTAGGGCTATGCAAGTACCCCTGAAGAAATACAGTAAATGTCCACTGTCAGCTTTTCCACGTGAAGTCAAGCTGGTCTTGACTCTGATGCTATAGCAATGGAAATAAAGTGTTAGCCAGATCAGCTATAAAGTGATTTGTGCCTAGCTCATGGCTTAGAAGATCCATCAAGTCTCCACTTAAAGCATTGGTGTATGAAAGGGCGGGCCACTTTATTCAACTCATGATGATCTACCATCACATGTCAAAAGCCATCAGGCTTCTTCACCGGGCCCATGGGCAAATTGTAGGGGCTGTGGGAGCATACATAATGCCACCTTTCTCCAACTCTGCTATTGTGCCACCTGACAACTGATAATGTTTAGTATTGGTCATTCATCTAGGGACTGGCAGTTGTATGGGCAGATGCTCAGCATGTTCGTGGAACACTGCCTTCACACATGAACCCTAAGGCAGAATTCTCTGCTATAGTTTGCAGCCACAAGCGACGTAGTCCATCTCCACCCAGAATGTGCTCTCAAATTGGCAACACATATAATTTATACTCTTTTGGGGATAATAACCCAATTATTCTCAAGTGCACATGGGACATTATCCAAGATGAAAAAATATTGGGTCACAAGATAAGTATCAACAGATTCAGGAAAACTGAAATACAACCAACATATTTTGGGATTATAAATGTGTCAAACTAGAAATCAACAACAGGAAAAAAATACTGCCATCATGTGGAAATTGAAGATCACAGTACTGAAAGACTACTGATTTAATGAAGATATTAAAGATGAAATAAAACAAATATAACTCTAGACATATAACAATAAGGACACAACTTTTGAAAAGTTATGGGATAGGGCAAAAGCAGTGCCAAGAGAGCAGTGAATCCTAATGCAGGTACATATCAAGAAACAGCAAAGAACTCAATCAATAACCTGTTTGCCTACCTAAAGGAAATAGAAAAAAAAAAACTACAGAAGAAAGGAAATAATGAAAATTAGAGCAGAAATAAATGCAATAAAAATTAAAATATAGTACAAAAATTAAAATATAGTACAAAAGATTAATTAAATCAAAAGTTGGTTATTTGAAATAAAATTAACAAAATAAAAAATCTTCTAGTTAGGCTCACTAAGAAAATAAGGGAGTAATCTAAAATAATAGAATAAGAAATGAAAAAAGTTACAACAGATGCTGCAGAAATTCAGAGGCTAATACAAGATTACTATGAACATATATACAATAATAAGCTTAATAGCCTAGAAGAGATGAGAAGATTCTTAGCAGTATACAATCATCTGAAATGAAATAGGAAAGAAATTGAAAACCTGAACAGACCAATTGCAAGTAAGGGAATTGAAATAGTAATAGAAACTCTCCCAAAAATCTAAATGTCCTGGACGTGATGGCTTCATGAGCAAGTGCTAACAAACCTTCAAAGACAATCTAATCCCCATCCTGCTCAAAGCTTTCAAAAAATTCAAAAAGATACTTGCAAATATATTTCATGAGGACAACATTTCTCTAATTCTGAAACTACATAAAGACAACACACAAAAAAAAGAATATCACAGACCAACTCCCTTAATGAATATAGATGTGGCAATCCATAATAAAATCTTAGGAAACCAGGGCCTCCCCTGTGGCGCAGTGGTTGAGCGCTGGGTTGCGAAGCTGCCCGCAGCCTCTGCAGCGCCTTTTCGATCCCTGGCTCCTCCCCTGCCACTGGAAGCGGGTCCCAAATGGCGCGCAGACCTCTCCTGCCGCCTGCTGCTCCCCTCAGCAGTGGGCTTCGTCATTCTGCCTGCTCTGCTCTCCGCTGTGACTCTGGTGAATTCTGTCACCCTTGGCACTTCTGACTGTACCCAATGCTTGTATAAATAAATAAATAAAAATTAAATCTTTAAAAAAAAATCTTAGCAAACCAAATCCAACAACACATTAAAAGGATTATAAACCGTGCTAGGTGGGATTTATTCTAGGAACACACGTGTGTTTAAACATCTGAAAATCAATTAAGATAATTCACTACATCAATAAAAATAAACATTAAAAACTACATGATAATATCAGTAGATGCCATGAAAGAATTTGATAAAATACATTAACATATGATGAAACGTTCGGAAAAATGAGAGTAAAGAAAAGAAATATAAGCGTAATATGAAAATCCTACATCTGACATCATCCCAAATTCAAAATATACGTAAGCTTTCCCATTAAGACCCATTACAAGACAAGGATGTCCACTTTCTTCACTGCTTTTCAACATATTACTAGAAGCCCCAGCTAGAGCAATTAAGCAAGAGAAGGATATAAAAAGAATCTTAATTTGGAAAAGAAGAAGTAAAGATATCATTATTGGGAGCCAAGAAATAAACACAGACCTACATGGGCATTTTATCTATGAAAAATGAGCCAAGAATATAGACTAGAACAAGGAAAGCCTCTTCAATAAGTGGCATTGGGATATCTGGACAGCCACATGCAAAAGAATGAGACCAGATCACTATCTCACACCATACAAAAACATCAATTCAACATGTATAAAAGATCTTGGTATAGGACCTAAAACCATAAAATACATAGAAAAAAACAGACAACATTATTCATGACATAGGCTTTACAGATGCTTTTGTGGATTCATCTCCAGGAGCAAAGAAAGCAAAAGAGAATATAAACAATCAGGACTATATCAAGCTAAAAAACTCATGCACAGTTAAAGAAATTGTAACTAAAACTAACAAACGCATACACAAAAAATAATAAACATATACACAGAAAATACTTGCACACCGCACATCTGACAAGGAACAGTTAACATAGATGATATTGTTATTAATTTCCCCCTGATGTCTTATTTGGTTTCTCTACATTCTCCTATAAATGAAACCATCTGATATTTTTTCTTTTTCCTTCTCACTAATTTCACTGAGCAAAATAATAACAATAAAAAACACAGCAAAACAAAACAAAACAAACAGACAATTATAAACCAGAGACATCCTGCATGGTAGAGGGAGGGAGAGGAGTCAGAGAGAGGGAGGGAGGAGCACATGGGACTGAGGTGATGGTGCACGGGTGCATTGGTGAAGGAAATTCTATGGGGACCACGCCTGAGGGGGCAGGGAGCAAACATTTAAAAAAAAAAATGGGCAAGATGTAAAATATATATAAATAAATATATTTTAAAAAAGAAAATATCCTCCTTATGCCTTATCATTAGGGAAATGCAAATCAAAATTACAATAAGCTATCATCTCACACCTGTGAGAACTTCCCATACCAAAAAACGCAAAACTTAACATTTCTGATAATGGTGTGGAAAAAATAAGGAATAGTCCCATATTCTTAGTGGGTACGTAAACTGCTCTGACCCATTGGAAAACAGTTTCTTAAACTGTTACAAATGGACCTGCCGTATCACCCAGCAATTCTATTCTTAAGAATTTATCTGAAGAATAAAAAAATAATCAGGCCTTCCCAGTGGCGCAGCTGGTTGAGTGCAGCACTGTGAAGCTGTCGCAGTCTCTGCAGCACAGGTTCAATTTCCAGCGGCCAGAGAGAGACCCACATGGCACAGCAGACCTCTCCTGTCGTGCCTGCTGCTCCCCTCAGTAGTGTATTTCAGTAGATCTGCCTGTTCTGCTCCCCACTCTGTCTCTGGTGAATCCTCTCACCCTCTGGCACCTCTGGCCTGTACCCCAGCTCTTGTATAAATTAAAAAAAAAATCTTTAAAAAAAATAAAAAATAATTATTAATTTGTAGGGAAACTTGCACCACATGTTCATTGCAGCACTGTTTACAATAGCCAACACATGGAAACACCCTAAATGTCCAAAAACATGAATGGATAAATAAAATGTGCTATATATACACAGTGAAATACTACTCAATAATTAAAAAAACATATAATTTTGTCACTTATAACAGCATGACTGGAACTGAAAGGGATTATACTATGAGGAATTAATGAGAAATTAATCACTAAGTGAAAGACAAATATAGGATGGTGTCACTTCTATTTGGGACATAGAGAAACAGGGTCGGATAAAACCACGGTACCAGTACATGTCTTTGTTAGATTCCTCTGATTTTACTGTTTTTTTCTTCATGCTAATCTTTTCATTCTCCTCTACACATCTGATATGTATCCATGAATATGTGTGATTCCTAATAAATATATAATATTTAAGTAGATTTGTTTTTTTTAATTGAGTACATATGGACTAAATTCTATTGTTCACATTGAATTCAATGAATTTTAAGATCTATGTTGATA